TCCAGGAACCTCCTGGATTGCTTATGCCCTGCTGTGTTGTCCCTCCAACAGATATCGGGGTGGTTGAAGTCCCCCATGAAGACCAGGGCTTGTGAACGTGAGGCTGCTCCTATCTGTCTATAGAGGGCCTCATCTGCTCGGTCTTCCTGGTCGGGTGGCCTGTAGCAGACCCCCACTATAATGACACCTGTCCCTGCCCTCCCTTTAGTCCTGACCCATAAGCTCTCGGTCAGCTCCTCATCCATCCCTAGGCAGAGCTCCATGCACTCCAGCTGGTCACTGACATAGAGGGTGACACCCTCTCCTCGTCTCCCCTGCCTGTCCTTCCAAAAGAGCCTGTACCCTTCCATTCCAACACTCCAGTCGTAGGAGCCATCCCACCATGTCTCCGAGATGCCAATGAGATCGAGCCCTGCAGGCATGCGCACATCTCTAGCTCCTCTTGTTTATTCCCCATGCTATGAGCGTTTGCATAGAGGTATTTAAGCTGGGTCCCTGATGAAGCTGCCTTACTGCCTGGAGTGGCTGGGACTCCTTTGTGCTGTTCTTCAGGTGCTCTCCTGCTGACCTGTGATCCCTCTCCAGGCTCTGGGCGTCTACTGCTGGCACTGGCCTCAAACTGGCAGGAGTGCGATGGACTGAGGTTCCCCTCTCCCAGCAACTTTAGTTTAAAGCCCTCTTCACCAGCTTGGGAAGCCTATGACCGAAGATGCTCTTCCCCTTCTGTGACAGGTGGACCCCATCAGCCCCCAGTGGACCAGATTTCTCAAAGCGAGTACTCCCATGGTCTGAGTAGCTGAACCCCTGGCTGTGGCACCAGTCCTGTAAGCATTTGTGGAATTGCCAGATTTGATCAGGCCTTTCACACCCCTTCCCTTTGACCGGGAGGATTGATGAAAAATCTACCTATGCTCCAGAGGCCCTTACCACTGCTCCCAGGGCTCTTAATCCTTCTTGATACTCCTCAGACTGCTCCTGGCTGTATCATTGGTGCCCACGTGAAACAACAGCAGCAGATAATAGTCAGTGTACTGTGCGAGGCTTGGTAGTCTCTCAGTGACATCCCTGACACGAGCCCCCAGTACGCAGCACACCTCTCTAGAGACTGTGTCAGGTCAGCAAATGAATGCCTCCATACCTGTCAGGAGAGAGTCGCCTACTGCTATCACCTGTCGCCTTTTCTTAGTTGCACTGGTTGTTATACGGGGAGCCGACTCGGTTGCCTTACTTAGCCCCAGCATCTCTCCTGATGTGACAGGTTAATTCTAAGTTATACAACACAATTTAAATTACATGTTTTATAATGTGTATAGTGCCCACCCTAATGTCATGGCTTTTTACTTCATACCTTCTTTGTTACCTTGTTTGTTGTGTTTTTTTAGCCATTCTATGTTCTTCCTGATTGCTTCCAAATATGCCTCAGCTTTCCCTAGAGGAAAGGATGAGAGAGAAATCAGTCACTTACATAAATGATTGATGCAGCTTGCATCAAGCTAACTGGGTGAAGTTGGTCACAGTGAAGGCAGATTAAAACTATTCTTAGTTTCTGTTTAAAAGCTGAGTCCTGTCAACCTTAGTCAGGCAAAATTCCCACAGATGGCTGGCAGGTTTTGTCTGTGCAAGGTTAGTCATCCACAAATTTAGGATTATGGCTTTTTTGATCTTTATGCATAACTTTTGGTGGTATCCACAGATACTGCATATGTGGATTAAAGGCCACCTGTAGCTTTTTGATCACAGTAATTGTTCAGCAAAGATGAAGCTGTTAAGACAGCAAGGAATGACTTAAATAAGACTGATAGCTTTGAGTATCTGCTCATATACAAAGTGTCAGAAAACTCCTCCATACAGTAGTACTAACAGCATACAGCAAATCTAAGATTGTGATATTTTGGAAAGACAAGTTGAGATACAGCTACTTATATTTACTGAGAGAAAGGATGTATTAAAATTACCATGGTAAGTCCTTGTATAGTTGAAATTTTAAAGTGATGGCTATTTTTCAACCAGAAAGCACACAGGACAGAATTAGTTCAAGGATTACCTAATAAGGCTCCTAAAGAAATATTCCAGCTAATGGATTTTGAATTCTCAACTTGGCTGGACCTTTATTGATGTAATGTTCTTACATTTGTCAGGGAAAAAAATCCTAGCATGATTAGCATGTAGAAGGCTACTACTGCCAACTATGCATGTCTGGTCGCATTAGTAAGTGGATACAATATTAGATATACCATAATTTTTGAGCTGGGAGTGCAGAGTTAGCTTTATAGTAAGTTACTCTGTAAATGAGCAAAGGACATAGCATGATGAGACAAAGAACTAAATACTGATCCAATTTAAATTTCTAAAAAGCTATTGGGCTGAACATTTTTCTGAAGGTAAAGGAAAATAACCTGAACCAAACTGAACAGACAAATCTTCAATAGACAGTGAAATATGTTATTTATCACTTCCCACAGGTATTGAGACAATTTTTCTTTACTGTGAAATTAGACAGCTATCTTGAGCTATTTTCCTCTTTTGTGCTCAAATAACCACTGCTGGAAAAAATGCCACCTTCTATCTGTGAGCGGCTAATAGTTTATATGTCTGCACTGCCCACAGGACCGAACCAGGTGACCAATGAACTACAATCTACTGTAGCCTTGGTTACTGCAATTCATTAGTGAGCATGTTGCAGTGAAAACACATGCATCCAAAAAATGTATGAGCATAAAACAGCATCAGTGCAAAACAGATTATAAGCAATTTGACTACAAAATGTAGATGCTTATGCTGGATCCTTAGCAATAAGAACTCACTGAAAGGTTTCTGCACCAACAAACATCCTCCTTCAGAAGTTCAGCACTGTCCTTTGCAGATTTGTTTTGAGATATAGCAGCTGATTTGAACCCCATGGACAGAGTGACTTCAGCTAGTACAGTCTAATGTAGCATGGCATGTGGCATTATGTGTCATGCTGAGGCAACTAGGATAATAAAAGTACTACTGTACTAAGTTTGCTTATTGAGACACTAACTTACTGTAATAGGTTTTCAAAGTTATGTAAAACAGGTTAATTGCTGATGACTCTTAACCTCTAGCAGTGAGTAACGCAAATTGTGTCACTTTGCAGAACTATTCACTACCTTTCAGTACCAGCTTGTTCTAACACAAACTAGAGGAAATCAATGGGCTCACTTAGAATATTGAATATCCTCATGATCTGATTTCACTGAAAAGCCACAGATGCAAAGAAGCAAAATCTCTCTGCACTACTGTGTCAAAATGCATTTCATATTGGTCTCAAAAGGGGCTATGAATTCTGTGAAAGATTATGGCCTTACTCAGCAAGGGATATAGATTCATATATTTATAGTAAGCAAATAAGTACACTTCCGAATCAAGCTGTTGTGTGCTGACTCCCAGTAACTATAAACTGAAGATACTTAAGCTAACACAATGGAAAAGCAGTACCAAAGAGAGGAAAAGATTCTGATCACTTGGAGCATACATAGGTAGCAAAAGCAATGGCTATTTTGTACCTCTGGGCTCTTCACTGTTTCCTGCTGCATTTTGTTCTTCATTTTTTGTAGAATCCTTTGAAATTTCGTATTCCTTTTCCATTTTAGCTGCTTCTTCCTTTGTACTGTCTGCTTCTTCACTACTCTTGCCTAAAGAAATAACAATAAGAGTAATTTTGTATCAAACGTACCAAAGGCACTTCTAAATCACATCAATACGAACTTTAGGAAGTAAAACATTTTGACTGATGATTGAGGAAGAACCTCTTGGAGTCTGGCTCAAAGTGGTTTCTAAACGTCATCTCTACCCCAGACTTCTGGAAATAGGAATACCTGTTTCTGCTCTTACAAAAGTACCTGAATACAGGTGACTAAAATGCAATAATATGTAGTTCATAAAGGCATAATCCTTTGTGCAAAGGAAAATGATAGGAAATTTGCGTTTCCTAGATCCAAAGTTGACAAAGAAAGATTTTTTTATTATTTAAGTCTTAAAAAGCATTGATACAGCTTGCTTTTGTATATGTGTAATATTGTATATGTCCGGACTCCAATGAAGAAAAGGACAGTGCATACACTTCTCCAAGACTGGACAATTAAGTAAGAATTCCTCTCTTGTTGTGTATTTAGACATCTAAGCTGTGGCTACAGGTCCTTGAGGGACTGTATGTTTAACTAGCAGTCTGGCTTCTAAAGCAATTAGCATGCTGAATAGGTAAAAAAAATTGTGTTATTCCAGGAGAGAAAATTGTAGAATAAGTACCTGCTGGTAGCTTTGTTCTGGTTTTAGTGGAAGGGTTCTCAAGCTTCTTCTTTGTCTGCTCAGCTATCATTGTATCTAAGTTTTCTAGAAATGAAGGCAAGACAAAACCAAACCCCAGTTATTCTTCAACAGATACGATAAGGAATCTATACTATATTCTCTGCAACACCAGTTTGAATGGTAAGCGGAAATCTAAAAGAACAGTCTGCATCCTTGTCTCTGAAGAATTAATGGCAACACTAAAAGAACAAACAAATACCTATATTGAACTTTGATCAATTTTATTAAAAAAATTAACAACTAAATCACGACAACCTGTGTACCAAATAGAGTCAATAGTCATAAAGACAGTAAACGTGTGCATATATATTCTAGTCATTTAAGTCACGTAAGTCACAAAATATAGATAACGGTATCTGCAGCAATTTATTCTGATGAAAGCAATGAAAGGGTTTAAGTAACTTCACAAAGTATACAAGACTAAGAAATATGTGCTTCCTCCTGGTGGCAAAATATCCCAAACTGCTTATCTGTCTGGATTTTATACAGTTTCATTGGAAAAGAAGTCTAATAAAAGGTTTTAAATTATATTTAGATGAAATAAATTCATAAACTGAACTGATTAAAACAAATATTTTTTAAAGTTGCTGAAGTCAAGCAAATACCTGAAAACCCAGTAGACAGCTGTGGCAATGCATATAGCTCTAGAAATCTAGAAAATGTTTTTCTATGCAAATTTCAGGGCTGAACTCATCTAATTTGAACATAAAAGCATCTTTTCATCAAGACAGATGTTTCAGATATAAACATTGTATGCTTATGTGGGACAAAAAAAGGTCCTTTTGATACAATTCTAAATAGATATTCACAAATACAGATCATCATACAATCTGCCATTTTTCCTCAGTCATATTATAGACATAGTACAGAATTTTCTTTCCCTTTATCAGCTTTTTTAAAAGGTTCAGTTAAACATGGATCCAAAATTTGATAGATGTCAGCTAGATGATGGGGTATTTTTGAGATACTTGGTTTTGAATTGTCAATATTCCCTTTATATAAACAGCTAAAATATTCAGTATGAGATGTGGTAACTGTGGCAGAATAGATACTATAGGGCTAGTAAATATTTTAGATCGCATCTTCTGTGTAAGGCCAACATATTATCCATCAGCCAGGAGCATCTTTTTCCATTGGAAGGATACTCAGCACTGAAACCTAAAGACTAGTTTTTTAGCAAGCACATTTCTCTTCATGGCAGATCACCATAAGCAATTCTGCCTGCCATCTGATGAAAAATCACATAATCCTGTCTGCCTGAGTCCTCGATATTTTGTTATTTACATAAAATTAAAATGCAAGCAGTTTTTGTTGGCACCCTGCCTGATTGCACCCTGTCAGTTCTACATCACATTAGGGTTTTTTTGTGAAAACCATTTCCATTTGGTACCTATCTTTTTAATGTGATTTCTGACTTTGCCATATGCCCTAAACTAAACAGGTCTGGGCTGGGTTACAAGCTGGATCAGCCATACTGATGAAGAAAAAACCAAGCTAGAATTATAGTGGTGGTATTCATGCCTCACTAATCACTTTATCCAAAGCTTATTGAAAGGATGGTAAACATTCCTTTCAGCTGAGCTTAAGATACTATTTTTTATCCTGAATCAGTACCATACCACTATTCCAGAAGCAATATAATGATTTCTCTGTTGCAAGAGGCACAGTTTTTAGGATAAGATTATACAGCTAAGAACTTAAAAACCCTTTGTAAATTCAAGTGAATAGATTATTCTCCTTTACTAATTCATGCAAATGCAAAAATGTCACTGATTTTAGACCTTAATCCAGCAAAATCTATTAAATTAGGCTTATTTTTAAGTGTAAACATAGTATTTTAAAATAAATAGGAGTATTTAAATATTTAAAATGCCACACCCACGTAAGTGCATTGATTCATAAGTGCCTTTCATGTTCTGTCTTAAAAGTGCCTGCATTTAGGCACTGCTGTAGTAAGCTTATATTAGCAGAAAATAAAAAAACCTCCACCACAAGATGGATTTATAACCTGCTTAGACATCTTTAGATTTAAATGTCTGCATACTGGTAATATTTCCAAATGTTTTTGTTATGTTGATAGACTGTAGTGTTTAAAAGTTGTACACATATCCACATACAGCATGTGCTACAGAAGGCAACAGCATTTATACTCCTCCATTATTCAGTTACTTCTATAAATCCAATCAGGAATTCTACGGTTTCTCTGAGTCTTTCAATTTGGCTAGCAATTTCATTTGAGTTCAATATATGAGTAATAAATAATATTTATTACCTCTTTGTCAAGCATAGTAACATAATAATATGCACTGATTTCCAGCCATATGCATTGAACAGCTACATCTGTATATGAAGTATAATATGGCAATGTGACCACTAATGATCCAAGCTTTGCCACTAAAGCCAGACTGCATATGATAACAACTATATACCATTTTCAAAGCTTTGTTTTGACAGTAAAGATATGGGCAAGTTTATATGACAGGCCTTTTAATAAGGACTCTTGCTAGCTGGATGGCACATCAACATGAATCTCAAGATTTCTTAAGCAGCTGCATTTTCTGTGTGGCAGAGAGGAGCTAACTATGTAAGCCTGTTCATGTTTACGGGGATCATCTGGTGTACCTACATATGTATCACAGAGAGAATATTACCAGAGAATCCCAATTTTTCTTGAACAGGATTTATTGCCCTTTTTTCCCCTTCAGAATTAATGTCTTTAACAGCTGGTATTGTTTCAAAATATGTTTGTACTTGTCATATGTGGCTAGGCCACAGCTGAACAATGTTTGCTCTAAGTTACACTGATGGAGTGAGTCATCTCCTCAACTGAGAGATGCCTGGCCAGCAGCTAAGCAACTGCATGTCGTATTTGGAGGTCTAACAAGAATTGATTACTTTTCCGGTATCGTTTCCCTAGCAACATAATTTTTACAGAGGAAGAGTATAGAAAGGTACTGACCTTTCCACAGAGCTGGCCATTTATTTGAAATGGCACTAATTAAAACAACAGAACAATAACTACTGAGCTAATGGAAGTGACCTACGTTGGTAAAATAGGTCACTCCTCTGGCGGCCGGCTTTCCGCCGAGCAGTATAATCTCATCACTCGAACCAGACACCAGGAGTCAGAAGAACTGGTTTCTGCCTTCCCTCACTTTCTAACTCGCTCTTTGATCTGGGATGACTCACTGAAGCATTCATGCTGCAGGAGGGCTCCTATTTTGAGTAGCCATTTTGAGACACCGTGGGCACAGTTTCTACAGGCACTACACAGTGATAGATCCTATTAATTGCACCTGAAAATGCAAATTCTCAGCACTTTTGAAACTCTGAAGGCCTTCCAGTTGGGCATTTGAAAATCTGAATGACATAAAAGCAGAATGCTTAGCTTTTCTCTGGGAGAATGCACTGCAGTAACACTCTTTAAATCCATGGCAGAAGATACTACATGAAAAAATACTACCAATTAAATTACTTTGTTCTTATTAGAGAGGCAGAAACTAATGTACCCACCTGAGTATTTAACAGAATTGGTAATAGAAGCCTGAAATGGACTCTTCTCTATAGACAGACAGATTCATGAGTTTTCTGGACTCTTGTTAATTTTCCTGCAAAGGGTTTTTTCATCTGCATAATTGTCTTGCACCCTGAAGGCAGTTTCACATTCTATCCTCGTCAAATTGAGTGAAGCTGAGATTTCATGTCATTACATTTCTGTAGAAAGACCTGCTTTGCTGTTCTGTTTTCATACAGCATAGAAAGGCTGTGCTTATTAAAGGAGAAGAAGGGAAGATCACGGTACCTGAAATCGATCTTAATGATAGCTAAAAAATTAGTTTACTTAAATAGTTCATACACTACAGCAGCTTCAGCTGGAGAGCTTTGTGCTGATGAGTGCTGTATGAGATGCACATATTTCAGGCATTAAAAAAGCAGAGTTCTCCTGGGGCTCTTCTGTCTCCTGCAGTACAAGATCCTTAAGAGTTTGCAAGGCCTTTTTCCATCTGTGACAAAACTAAGGACATCTCAGCTTGTGACTATTCTGTGGGGAATAGTGTACCTGATTAATTCTTTGGCCAAATCCTCCTTTTAGTTCACGTGAGTGCAGGTCCAAGAACTGCCAATATCCACTGGATTTTCACCAGTGTAGCCAAAAGCAGAGTTTGACTTTAGTCAGCTTGTGTATGTATCATGCATATGTCACATAAACTGCTTAAACTGTGATGAACAAGAGAAATCCCTCCATTGTGGAATTACAGATGGGTCTCAGCCTTGCAAATATCCTGCTCCTTTCTAAATCCCTCCCTCATACCAAGATACGGCATTTTCTTTTTGAATCTTCCTGTTTGACTGATTTGTTGTGATGGTGTGTCTGAAGCCTAATGCTGCCATGAGGAATGACATGTCAGGTGACAAACTCCAGATAGTGGCATCACTTGTAAATAGACTATAGGCAAGATGGTCAGAGTGATTTGAAATAAAACCAGCAGCAGTATCGCTTGGCAATCAGATTAAAAGCAACTCAAAAAGTAAACCACAATTAAATAGATGTGTTTTGGGGTGAACAATGCCCTGACCAAGTCTCTTTTATTGTCCTTATTAAATTCTCTACCTCTCCGACTATTTCTCAGATATATCCTTTCAATATTCTACAGGCGCTTCCTTTGCAACACTCCAGGTCTCCTAGAGCTGTGTTGTGCAGTCCCTTCCAAATCCTTTCCCATCTTGGGGTTGCTACGTGGCCTGTGCACACATTTTAAGTATTTTTATAGCATGCACTTTATAAGCACAACAGTTTGGGACTGAAGCAGCACACAGCCGCCTCTACTGCAGGAGTGGGATGGAGCTTAGTTTTGAAAGTTCAGTGATACCCTCTTTACCCTGCACCCACATCATCATTCTTTATGAAAAGGGTTGTCAAGCATTGGAACAGGCTGCCCAGGGAAGCAGTTGAGTCACCATCCCTGGAGGTATTTAAAAGCCGTGTAGGTGTGGTGCTTAGGGACATGGCTTAGTGGTGGACT